TCCACTTGTGACGTTGCTCCAATGGGACTTAGTGCCGTTAATGCTCACTCGCTGTTTCCTGTCCTGTAACCACGCCCTAATCCATTTAAGGATGTCACCTTTGATGCCATGAGCTTCTACCTTTCTAATTAGTCTTTCGTGGGGGACTCTGTCGACGGCTTTGCTAAAGTCGAGATATACCACATCATAATTGTGCCCCTCGTCCACCGATTCGAAAACTGATGAAAAGAATGTTAATAGATTAGTTAGGCAAGAACGTCCGCTTGTGAAGCCATGCTGGGAATCATTGATCAATCGGTGCTTCTCCAGGTGATTTCGAATAGAGTTTGAAATGATTGCTTCCAGTAATTTGCCTACTATTGATGTTAGACTGATTGGGCGGTAGTTAGAGGATAGTGATCTATCCCCCTTCTTGAAAATCGGTATTACATTCGCTATCCTCCAGGATTCTGGTACTACACCTGTTTTTAATGACATGTTAAACAACTTTGCTAAGGGCATACTAAGCTCTTCCTTACATTCCTTTAATACTCTGGCAAATATCTCATCGGGACCAGGTGACTTATTAGGCTTTAGTTTGTCTATTTGCTTACTAACATCGTTACTAGTCACTACTATCTCACTTAATTTGTTTTCTTCACTATCTCTGAATAGAGTCGGTGCCTCGGGTATCATGTTTAAATTTTCGGTGGTGAAAACTGTTGAAAAATATTTATTCAAATTATTGCTCATTTCTCCGTCGTTATCAGTGAGCTCGCCGAAGTCTGACCGTATTGGTCCAATCTTTTCTCGTGTTTTAGTTTGATACATTTGGTAGAATCCTTTGGGGTTTGTCTTCGCCTCCCTTGCTATCCTTACCTCATTATTCCTCTTTGCTTTCCTTATCTCGGTTTTAACCCTACTCGCCAAACTCTATAATAGTCCCGGAGGTGAATTTCGCCACGATTTATCCTTCTACCTATAGCCTTCCTTTGGCCAATCTGTATTTATTTACAAAAACACCGCTATACAGATACAATATATTATAAATAAACAAATCAATGGATATTACTTCTGTCATCTTGAGTCTACAGTAGGAGTATACTGTCCAATCTCCTGAATGTAATACAGTACATGACTGTAATCACTTTTTACATCTTTTGACACTTGTGATGGAGGTGTGGTAGGGGGGCGGGATTAGTGGGTCCCAAGTTAACTGACCTGATGCAATGCCAGGCCCACGCAATATATATAAAGTCCTCTCTTATTTGCAGTGGAGGTGGGGTGGGAGATTAGTGGTCTCATATTACTTGCCTTCTGATGTAATCTCAGGTCACCACATCCATTGTTAGGGTGGGGGATCAGAGCAAAATCACTTCACAGTCAGAGCAAAAGAGCTTTACAGTCACTTAAACAGAGTATAATGTGCACTTTAGTAATTTCCTCTCACTGTAAGGTAAAAAAAAAACACCTATGATGACCGATAAACAATGAGCTCCATTTCTTACACACTTGTAACCAAGAAGAAACATTGGTTGGATGTAGTTCACCAGATGAGTGATGCACTCTATATGCTAACTTGGCGAGTTGGCGGGATGACGAATATCATTAATGCGAGTTTATTTACATAACAAATAGGAAAGTGGCGTTATTATATCAACATTGTTAACGCAAATTATCGCAAATTGGAATATTACAAATAGAGGTTTACCTGTGCTACTGAGATAAGTTTTCCGAGAGTCTAAACTATGTATCTCGTACAGACAGACACTATCGTACATCCCCAGATTGTTTCCAGGTGCTGGGGAAAGTTTTCTGAGAGTCTAAATTACGCATCTCACACGGACAGACACAGAGTTGTATTTATTTATGCAAAGACTAATGTACACATACAATATATTGTAAATAAAGAAGGTATACATACTACTGTATACTACACTTTACTCTACTCACCAGCAGATGCTGTTGTTTTGGGCTTGTGATGCAGGCAGGTCAAAAGGTGATATGATGATACAGAATGACCTGCCACTCTCCTAAGCCAAGTATTACTAACTGTCACTTTCCTCTACCTCCATGAAAGATGAATTGTACACACACTGTAAACTACAGTGGCCTTGCAAGTTTCAAGATTGCTTTGCTCTGGGGACCCAGCGCGGAACTACTGAATCGCAGAACTCACGATGTATGTTTACATGTTAAAGGTTTCTTGGTCATTCTGGCGCTCATACCAAAATCCCTATTGTTTGTCCTTTCAGCCCCTTCACTCCCCCAATTTCAACCAGAAAACAATGCTTTAATTTGACAGAAATAAAGATAATATACTATAGAAATAGAAATAAGAAAAATGAATGGGTAGAAAGGAATTATGTGTAGGGAGGGACAATAGGCAGGTATGGTGGTTGAGGGTGGAATGATTCAGCAAAGATCCCCCTCTGGCAGATTTCCACCAGCCTGACCCCATTAAAATGACAATATGTAATTTCACCATAATTACCACATTATTTAGGTTCATTTGGTGCCAGGTTAATAAAATATTATCGTAAATAATAATCAATTAAAAAAAATACACTCAACCCAGACGATTTATTGTGTAGTATGTATTAAAGTTCCTGGTGATATGTTTAAATGGATTAACAGCTGATCATCCAGCCAGCCAAAGAAGCCATTTACGGTATGTAATATACAATAGAATCCCGGTTATTCAGAATTCATGCAACTGGCAGATTCAACTAACCGGCACCAGAATGAAATAATAATAATAACAAGTCCTCCCAAATTAGCTAGAAATGTAAGTTTGGATACTGCACACAATGAGGATGAGCTGCCATATTCATCGCTATGATAAACAATAAAATCGATACATAGCATATCATAAAATACAATAGCACATATTGCATGGACAAAAAATAGCTCCTTCTACATTCAAACCATCATCTGGGTGACATGACACAGTTCAAGTAGGAGTTACCCGACTGTCTCACAAATGTGTGGCTGCCACAATGGCTGTGTTATGCCATGACATCACATTGGGAAGGAGCGCGACCACACAGTTATAGCCCAGTAACCCACCGCCTTCAAAAACATTCATTTCGGTAAATTTTTCTTGTAACACCGTTCACTTGTAGCAAGTTAAAAATATATTCTTCTAGTGTATTTGTGTGTGCGGAAATTAGCCTTTTTTTTTAGCGATTTTTTTCGTTTGACGTTTTCCGAGAAAAAAAAGTGCCTAAGCGACTAACAAATACACAATAAAACACTAGAAAAACAATAACCAAACCTAACCTATCCTAACCTAACCTGACCTAACTTAACTGACTCTCACCATATGATGGAATCACCTATTTCTTACCTTATTGGCCTGGTTCTTGTTCGTCGTTGCATTCTGGGATTCTTACACAATGCCACATATGTTGGTCTTTGCGATATTTACATTCAGTCTTGCTCTTAGTACACTTTACTGAGGTTGGAAGAACACCATGCGATCGAAAAAATGCTATAGTTTCTTCGTTTTTTTTCCAAAAACTCGCAATCAGCTCCATATACTTTAAGTGACACCCATCGCAGACTTCCATGGTCGGAACTGAACTTGAATTTCAAAATATGAGACCAAAAAGAATACTCGAATTTGATTGGGCCAAAAATTCCGCGAATTAAACCCAAAAACATTTTAATTGGTTTCAAAATAAAAAAGGCTTTTGATTGGCCGCGTGACATGTACAGCAACGCATGGGCAGGATGATTTATGACGGAGACGCAGGAGACACGCAGTGTTGGAGGAGAGGCAGACGATAATGGCAGGATGTTAATGGAAGAAAATATAAAATATTTTGGAAGAGCTATCTCCGTTATTATACATTTCCGCCGGTAATGTAATAGATGAAAATTATCTTATAATTAGACGTCTTATTCGAATATGATAATAGATTAGTGGTAGGAATGAACGGTGCTACAAGAAAATAATACCTTCATTTCCTACATACACACACCCATGCTCTTCATTTTTCTTATTTTATAGTTTTATATAATATTTTCTATATTTCTATGTGACATTAGAGCAGTGTAATGATTTTCCCACATATTTTATAGTTACATTACGAGTAACCTTGATGTGGGTCATGAAAAATTACCTGTGCCCGGGTGAGTTAATGCCCTAAAAAAAAATATATATATATATATATATATATATATATATATATATATACATATATATATATATAAGTAGAAATATATATATATACATATATATATATATATATACAGCATATAAAATAATAAACATGGCTACTAAGCTACTTGAAAACCTTACCAAAGTTGCTAGTGATCCAAAGAAGAAAATAGTTTCCCTGAACAATGTGCACAAGGTTGAAATATTACAGAAACTAGACTGTAGAGTGTCTGTTCATCAACTTTGTCAACTTTATATTTTGCCCCTCTCCCCACTTCGATTTAACAGCATATTGGATTTAACGGTATGGACCAGGTCCTGTTAATGCCGTTAAATTGCGGTTCAACCTGTAGCAACAATGAGTAGAGAGAGGCAAGTACACATAGTCGTTGGCTGTTTAAAACTGAGGCCATCGTGGCGCTACCAAAAGGAAAACAAAGTGACCAGCCAAATCTGCCAGTTTCAAAACTAAACAGCTTAAAATAACCTGCCAACTTTCAATTTCCTGAAAGCCGGATAAATGATCAAGTAGCTGTACTGTATACTGTTCACTTGTATTCTATTGCAAAATAAGAGGTTTATACATTCTACTATTTACTATACCTATATTCTATTGTTAAAAAAAGGCTTACCATTCAGACAATTCAATCACAAACCAATAATAGGTGACAAACTTAGTTGGTTGACATTCACACTCAGCAACCTTCCACAGATACATTAATACAATTTCAATATGATTTAAACAAGAGACAGCTCTTCTTCGAAAAATTACGTTTTATTAATCTGTTCATTTGCTTAAAAGAGATGTTTCTCTAAACATTTATGAGTAATTTTTCAACTAACAATATAAACATACCGGCAAAGCTAGTCCGTTAGGAAGACGACAGTTGCAGTCTGCCAGAGATACACATTTAGCTTCATTAATCATGAAAAATCCAGGTGGACAGGTGTTGGTCTTGAACCTCTCAACACACCCAGGGGCACAGTTATCCTCAGACTGAAAAGCAAGATTTTTTTTCACCATTCAAAAGGTTTTTAAGAAATCTAACTGATCTCTGACATGTTATCATTTCATGATGGCGGAGCTCAGGGAATGGCCATTAGTGACCTGATGGTCTCAAAGTCGAAGCAGATTAAGGAAAGAGAAACTGTTGTGACAGCAAAGTGGATTCACAGCTTGTTACCTCTCCTCAAAGTCAGTGGCTTATGCCCCAGTTCGTCCACCTGTGTGTGACTACTGTACCGAGATCGTTATTACGAGTCATATTCAGATAAGAGAAAACTCTGAAAAAATGGTTCAAGTTCAGAGGTCGAATCTCTGATGGTCTACAGTCCTCTGTTGTTTTTGTATAGGTAGGTAATCTTTCATTACCACAGGAAGATAGTGATCCTGCCTTGCCAGTTAAGAGACAGAGCTTAGAAGTCCTACATATAATGTCCAGTTTCCCCTCTGTAAAAGAGGGTTGGTAACAGGAAGGTGATCCAGCTTTACAACTTGCTTCAAATTTGTCTCATGGAAACCAGGACACCATGTTATCAGGTAATAACAGCTAACCCCCACAAGTGTGAAAATGGTCAGATAACAGTGGCGATGATGATAATACCAATATAATTAACATATACTCTATATTTATTCAAATGAAAAATACTGTATTTATGAGTAGAAACTACTCGCCAGTTTATTGCTGTTTCCTGTATGAGGAAAGCTGGCATGGATACTGAGATTAGAGGCATCAATAATTATCAATAAAGAAATTAGAAGTATCCTATTTTGGGGCCAAAACTTATAAATCAATGTCCCTTATCTTTTAAAAATGTATAACTCCAAAGGAATTAGGTGTTAGGACTGATTTTTAATTATATTAATCTTACAAAACAGCAATCATCCTATACTATACAGACCCTGATTATAAAGTGCCCAAACCTGTTTACTCTCAATGTGTTTGGGCCATATCTGAGAGGTCATAAGCACTGAAAACCAATGAGGAGAGACAGTTGAAAATGAGTGTGATGAAATTAGCTGAAGTTAAAAACATATTAAACAATATGTCTGCTGTTGCCAAATTTAGTAACGAGTGAAACAAATAAGCCAAAACCAAGGCCACTAATACAAGGAAACAGAAAATCACTAGTGACCAACCTTATCTCTATCTGAGTTGTCTCTATGATGAAACTATTACCTCGGATGACTTATCTTTATTAAAAATGAGGCTTCAATGCCTGCACTAGTGAGCACTGAAAATCCTTGAAGTAGGTCTGAGGTTCATGATGCAAAATGAATGTGTACTGTGACAGAAGACTGTAAAGTCCCTGACTTAAGTCTGTAATTTAAGACTTAAGACGATTGTAGAGAGCTGCAAAAATCTCCATATTGAAAGCTCTATTATGAGAAGAAGAATAATCCTCAAAGTAATGTACAGAAGACTCCTGGCAGTACCATTAACACTGGTAATGAAGTACACAGAAGACAGCAAAATAAGTCATTGATGGAATTAGTATTATGAAATATTTCCTGGATCCCTAAGGTCATAAGAAAAGGACCATAATTCCCTAAAGTATGGGGAGCAAATAATCATTATCAAACTCATCCAAGAGGAAAGTATAACAGTTCACATCCACTGGCCAGTCTCTAGTCCTTGACCAACACATTGAGGCTCTAACTTATTCAATCTTTTATTTGTCAATATTAAAATAAATCATTACTTGTGCAGGATGCGTATCTAACAATACAAACAGAAAATAATAAGACAAGACTCAAAATACTAACCTTGCACATCCCATTTTGGCGGAGGACTGAATTATGGTACAAGCATACCCTGTCACAAGGCATTGCACACTGTTCATATGTCATGGAAGGTGGACACTCTGCAATGAATATTATTACAAGAAAGTTTACTTATCATGATTTTTTTATAGAATATCCAGCTAAAAGTTCCTGTTGATCCATAGGCGTGGTTATATATATATATATATATATATATATATATATATATATATATATATATATATATATATATATATATATATATATATATATATATATATATATATATATATATATATATATATTCTCGATTTAATGGAATCCGATATAAAGAATTCTTAATTTAGCAGAAGAAATTTTTCAGCTATTTTTCGCTCGATTTAGTGAACTAGTTCGCTAAATCGAGATTGATTCGATTAATACGCTCACACCTCCGGAGACACCTCAAGACACATGACATGTACATAAAAACATTAGAAACATTATTCACGGCTTACCCTAAACTAGGGGGTTCGGTGTTTGTTTTCAAAATTTTCTATAATTTCCAAACATTTTTCCAATTGATAGCTACACTCTTTGACTTTCTCCTCCACACCACTTCCGTTTTGAGACTCCTGAGACATTTTCGGCATGATGTCTAAGCATAGTAGTTAGTTGGCTGAGTTGTAGACTGAGAGGTAACAGTGAAGAACACACACGGTGGCGGCAGGACACAGACTGAGTGGATGTAAACAAACCCCATGTGCCAAGCGGCTCATTTGGTGCGAAAATAACGGAAGGTTCAATTTAGTGAAAATTTGATGGAATCACACTCAATTTAGTGAGCTAGTTTGCTAAATCGAGTGAAAATAATGGAAAGGTCAACTTTGCAGAAATTTAAATTTAACAACGGGCTCGAATTAGTTCGTTATATAAAAAAGTACCGTGTACACACTATATATATATATATATATATATATATATATATATATATATATATATATCAACGACCTCACCAGCCAGGAACCGAACCCTTGATCTTATGCGTGTGACCAAGGAATGCTACCAACCATGCCACAAGGACACTAAAAGCAATCCTAGACTTTGTTATATTTCACACAAAACCTCCCAGTGGGAGGTTGACAGCGCCATCAGCACGATGAACAGGCTTTGTGTGAAATATAACAAAGTCTAGGATTACTTTTAGTGTTCTTGTGGCATGGATTGTAGCGTTCCCTGGTCACACGCATAAGGTCGAGGGTTCGAGTCCTGGCTGGTGAGGTCATTGAGTATATGTTCAAGTCCGTGTGTTATATGGACTAAAAATGAAATATATATATATATATATATATATATATATATATATATATATATATATATATATATATATATATTGCGCAGTTCAATTCTGGTCACTGTATTACAGAATGAATATGGAATCCTTGGAAAAAATTCTGAGGAGAATGACAAGACTAATCCCGGTCTTCTTTTTTTTTTATTTGGCACACCCCTACATCCTGTGTAAGGTGAAGCGCAGAAGCGTTTACAGCGCCCAACAGGGAAGCATGCTAAGTTCATGCTTGCCTTTATGTCTCATGAGTTAAGGGCATAGAAGCCCGAAGAGTCAAGGGCGTAGAAGCCTGAAGAGTCAATGGTTTATGTCATCAAGTTATTGGAAGCTCCAACAATTTTCCCTGAACATCGAATTCGCAACTTTCGATTTACAACAGGTACCTACATTACTGCTAGGTGAACAGGGACCAATGAGGGCTAGGAAGTATGTCCAAACAACTTTACCACCAGCCCGGGAATCGAACCCGTGACATCTCGCTTGAGAGGCAAGAGCGGTGCTGTTCTACCATCGGCGCCCCATCCCAGGCATTAGGAACCTTGAGTACAGAGACAGGTTAAAGCATCTTAATTTGCACTCCCTCGAGAGACGTAGAGTGAGGGGCGATATGATCGAGGTGTATAAATGGAAATCAGGGCTAAGCAAAGGGGACATTACAAAGGTACTCAAACTATCCAACCAGGAGCGAACTCGTAACAATAGTTTTAAATTAGACAAATTTAGATTTAGGCGCGAAATAGGTAAACATAGCTTCAAACATAGGTTGGATGGATATATAAGCAATAGGGGTTGGGTGTAAATGAGACTGCCCTGTATGGGCCAATAGGCCCGCTGCAGTTTCCTCCATTCTTATGTTCTTATATTCGATAAATCGCCATTCGATAACTCGGGATTTCATATAACTCGGCACCGATATGGCCTCGGAATGTATTATAGTATAACTTGGGAAAAGCCGAGATAAAAAAAAAACTATGGTAAAATCTCGGCATATTTGGCCTCGTGGGTAACACTCGCCGCGTTGCACTCCACGCTTGGTCAGTCTGGTTTTGTTATTGTTGTGGTCAAGAGTGTGCTGGCTCACTCACTATACATTGCACTACAGAGTATCTAGGGCACCAGAATTAATATGTAGCACTCCCTGGTAAAATTTGGTTCCTACGGTATTAACCCATTAACACCCAACAACCTCCGCCATTCATGTCAAGCCAGCCACTGTATGCAAAACGTTTCCACTAGATTTCATTTAATTTACAATTCAATTCATTTAATCTGAATCCCAACATCTGAATCTTCCAGGTATCCCAACTGTGTTCTCTTTGGTAAAAATTTTAATTTAGTCCAACAATCCAAAAGCAAATGAAATCATATATTCGCATGTCTAACACCTGTTTGCTATAACCACTTTTTATAGAAAAAAAAGCTATGATAATAAAATTGACACATAGCATGTCATAAAATACAATAGCACATATTTTATGTACAAAAAATAGCTCCTTCCACACTCAAACCATCATCTAAGACTCTAAGTGATGCTAGAGTTCAGCGAGGCAATCAGGTGACAGTGGAGTCAACCAACTGACTGGTGAGAGTATGACTGGTGAGAGTATGACTGGTGAGAGTAAGACTGGCGAGAGAATGACTAGTGAGAGTATGATTGGTGAGAGTAAGACTGGCGAGAGTAAGACTGGTGAGAGTATGACTGGTGAGAGTATGACTGGTGAGAGTAGGACTGGCGAGAGTATGATTGGTGAGAGCAAGACTGGTGAGAGTAAGACTGTCGAGAGTAAGACTGGCGAGAGTATGACTGGTGAGAGTATGACTGGTGAGAGTATGGTTGGTGGGAGTAAGACTGGTGAGAGTAAGACTGGTGAGAGTAAGACTGGTGAGAGTAAGACTGGTGAGAGTATGACTGGTGAGAGTATGACTGGTGAGAGTATGACTGGTGAGAGTATGGTTGGTGGAGATAAGACTGGTGAGAGTATGACTGGTGAGAGTATGACTGGTGAGAGTAAGACTGAGCGAAAGTATGTGGTGAGTATGATTGGTGAGAGTAAGACTGGTCAGGGATATGACTGGTGAGAGTATGACTGGTGAGAATTATGACTGGTGAGAGTATGACTGGTGAGAGTATGACTTGGCAGGAAGTAAGACTGGTGAGAGTATGACTGGTGAGAGTAAAACTGGTGAGAGTAAGACTGGGAGAGTAAGACTGGTGAGAGTATGACTGGTGAGAGTAAGACTGGTGAGGAGTAAGACTGGTGAGAGTAAGACTGGAGTATGACTGGGAGGTATGACTGGTGAGGAGTATGACTGGTGAGAGTAAGACTGGTGAGGTATGACTGGTGGGAGATATGACTGGTGAGAGTAAGACTGGTGAGAAGTACGTTGGTGAGTGTGATTGGTGGGAGTAACTGGTGAGAGTATGACTGGTGAGAGTATGACTGGTGAGGAGTATGACTGGTGAGTATGACTGGTGAGAGTATGACTGGTAGTAAGACTGGTGAGAGTATGACTGGTGAGGTATGACTGGTGAGATAAGACTGGTGAGAGTATGACTGGTGAGGTATGACTTGGTGAGGAGTAAGACTGGTGAGACTAAGACTGGTGAGAGTATGACTGGTGAGAGTATGACTGGTGAGAGTATGACTGGTGAGAGTAAGACTGGTGAGAGTATGACTGGTGAGAGTATGACTGAGAGAGTAAGACTGGTGAGAAGTAAGACTGGTGAGAGGAGACTGGTGAGGCGACTAGGAGAGTAAGACTGGTGAGAGTATGACTGGTGAGAGTAAGACTGGTGAGAGTATGACTGGTGAGAGTATGACTGGTGAGAGTAAGACTGGTGAGAGAGTAAGACTGAGGAGAGTATGACTGGTGAGAGTATGACTGGTGAGAGTAAGACTGGTGAGAGAAGGACTGGTGAGAGTAAGACTGGGAGAGTGCGACTGGTGAGAGTATGACTGGTGAGAGTATGACTGGTGAGAGTAAGACTGGGGAGAGTATGACTGGTGAGAGTGATGACAGGAGAGTATGACTGAGAGAGTAAGACTGGTGAGAGAGTATGACTGGTGAGAGTATGACTGGTGAGAGTAAGACTGAGGAGAGTATGACTGGTGAGAGTAAGACTGGTGAGAGTATGACTGGTGAGTAAGACTGGTGAGAGTATGACTGGTGAGAGTAAGACTGGTAGAGTATGACTGGTGAGAGTAAGACTGGTGAGTATGACTGGTGAGAGTATGACTGAGAGAGTAAGACTGAGAGTAAGACTGGTGAGTATGACTGGTGAGAGAGGTATGACTGGTGAGAGTAAGACTGGTGAGAGTATGACTGGTGAGAGTATGACTGGTGAGAGTAAGACTGGTGAGAAGAAGGACTGGTGAGAGTATGACTGGTGAGAGTAAGATCAGAGAGTATGACTGTGAGAGTATGACTGTGGGAGTAAGACTGGTGAGAGTAAGACTGAGGGAGTAAGATCAGAGAGTATGACTGGTGAGAGTATGACTGGTGAGAGTAAGACTGGTGGAGAGTGGATGATGAGAGTAAGACTGGTGAGAGTATGACTGGTGAGAGTATGACTGGTGAGAGTATGACTGGTGAGAGGAAGACTGGTGAGTAAGACTGGTGAGAGTATGATTGGTGAGAGGCGACTGGTGAGAGTATGACTGGTGAGAGTATGACTGGTGAGAGTAAGACTGGTGAGAGTATGACTGGTGAGAGTAAGACTGGTGAGAGTATGACTGGTGAGAGTAAGACTGTGAGAGAATGACTGGTGAG